ACTGGTTGGGTCTCCTGCGTCCCACGTGAGAGTGCCTGGGTTCAAGTCCCAGCTCTGCTTCTGATCCCACCTTCCTGCCACTGTGCGCCCGGAGAGGCTGTGGTGATAGCTCCAGTACTTGGGTTGCTGGAGACCTAGACTGAGTTTTCTGATCCTGGCTCCTGCCTGGCCCAGTTCTGGCCCTTTCAGGCTTTGGGGGAGTAAACCAGTGATGGGGAGTTCTCTTTGTCTCTCTCTCTCTCTCTTTGTCTCTCTATCTCTCTGTTTCTATGCCTTTCAAATAAATTAATTAATTTTTAAAACAGAAACAAGTGTCTAAAAAAAAATGTGTGCTCTGTCTGAATTGTGACCCGCTCAGCAGATGGGATTCTGGGTAGACACCTGGCATTACGCGTATGGATCACACTGGGGAAAACTCGGGGTTTGAAGTCTCGAGTTTTATTCTTTGTTGATTCCTCCAGCTGCATTTACAGTTACTCTGGGCCAAGTGCTGGAGACTTTTGTAAGTTTTGCTGGTCCTGTGAAATTTAAAAAATAAAATTACGGAAGAGGAATTCCCCGCAGTGGCACTCAGCCCAGCAGGCAAGGGCCTGGGGGGACGCTCGCCTCGCCTCCCCTCCCGCATTGCCACGCCCGTGCTGTGCTCCTCTCCTCACACCAGCCTCTGTTGCTGGGTCCCTGCCACCCACGTTGGGAGACCTGGACCGAGTTGTCAGCTCCCGGCTTTGGCCCGGCCCACTTCCGCGGCAGGCATTTGGAGAGTGGACCAGGCAATGGGCACTGTATGTCTCCATCTCCGTCTCTCAAGTGAATAAATGAAAATTAAAGGAAGGTTCTGGGGGCTGGCACTGTGGCGTAGTAGGGTGGCGCCGGCATTCCCCTATGGATGCCAGTTCGAGTCCCAACTGCTCCACTTCTGATTTAGGTCCCTGCTAACACACCTGGGGAGGCAGTGGAAAATGGCCCAAGTGCTTGGGCCCCTGCACCCACGTGGACACTCTGATGAAGCTGTTGGCTCCTGGTTTTACCCTGGCCCAGGAATGAGCCAGTGGATTGAAGACCTCCCTCTCCCTCTCTGTCTCTCTCTCTATCCCTTCGTCTCTGTCTCTCTCTGTAACTCTGCCTTGTCAAAATAAAATAAATCTTAAAAAAAAAAAAGAAAAAAAACAATTCCCTTGCTATTATTTAAATTTAGGCATGTCTTTGATTTTCTTTTAATTTTATGATTGATTGCTGTACTGCACACTTTTGCTGTCTCTTATAATCTGTCCATTGCTTGTCGTAACTTCTCCAAGTAGACAGTTATCAGTCTGCACAGAATGAGGACTTCATCTCCTTTCAGTCCTCGTATCTTTCTGTTGTTTGTCTTGTCTTGGTCAGAACTTGTCAACTAAAGTGAAAGTGATGGTCCAGTGGAGGCAGTGGTATTCCATTCTGAGATTTTTTTTCTTTTTCCTTTTTTACATCTTCCCCATACTATGTTAGTCATATGTATATTGCATTTTTAATCATTAATTTTGTGAGCATTAGTATTAAATTTTCTATCATCAAGCTGTTCTTAAATTATTAGAAGAAACTACTTGATGAGGGTGTATTGCTCTTTTAAATGCAAATCTGATTTGCTTTGCTAATTTTTAAAAGGGTTTTTATATTCCTGATCCCTCAGTGAGATTGGCATGTGGTCCCCTTTGCTTGGTCGGCTGTCCGTGTTGTCTGAAGTCAGGAATGGGTTTTCCCCATTTTCGTCTGTGCTCTGGAAAGCTTCTGCCTAATCGTGGTGATGGACCTTTTGTCCTTTCTGTAAAAATATTTGGTTTCTTATAAAATACTAGAAATCCCACCAATTAGAGTCCAGCTCTAGCAGGTCCTGGGGTTCCTGCAGGTGTGGGAGGCGTCAGCAACAGGAATACATGAGAGACAACACTCACAGCAAGGCCGATGGCACGGCTCAGCCTCTCGAGCACCAGGCTTTATTTTCACATCATGTCACATAGTATTTCTCGCTTCCTACAATAACAAGTCTGTTGTCCATTTTCATCTCGTTACAGTTTCTTTGATTTTCAAGGGCGTGTTCAGAGCATGGGTTACAGTCACAGACAGGTGCGAGACAATGGGCTGCCCACACAAGCCAAGGCCTGGAGTGCTGTGGAGCTGTGCAGAAACTGCCTACACAGGCTAGAATAGTACCTTCCTAATCTACTCTACCAGAAGCCCCAAGGTCAAAGCAGGCCCTTTTTAAAATGTGTCCCCTCTTTTGCAGTTCTTTCTGAAACTCTTTCATTTCTATATTATACTGACCTAAACGTTCACTTAGATCTGTTCCACAGTTTTGACATCCTAACCATTGTTGTATTTGTTGCATATATTGAATTAAAGCATATACCAGGGAGCCTGTTGCCTTTTAATTCTTTTCCACAAACAGCTCAACCTTGCATAAAGCATTAACTCCTTCTCCTACATTAACTTTCTGCTTGATCAAAATTCTACAAAGCAATGGACATTTTGGGGATTATGAGACTAAGCGCTCTTCTCTAAAATTAGGAATACAGCAGTCATTAGTGGGGCTACCAGGGAGCTCCGGCTTTCTTATGCAGAGTGTAGTTCCCAGCAAACCTAAAGCCACCAAGAGAACCGCAGCTGTCTTTCTCACGCCTTGCTGAGACAGACCTTCTGCTGGGACCTTGTCGGCCAGCCCAAGTTGCCTTGGTCTCACCAAACCACCTTTGCCATTTTGGTGTATTTCATTCTATATTGTTTTTCCTCCATTTGGGTGACTTGTCTTAGAAGATTTATTTTTTATTTGAAAGGTGAGGAAGCAGAGAGAGAGAGGAGAGAGAGAGAGAGAGAAAATCTCTTCTATCCACTGATTCATTCCCCAAATAGCCACAGTAGTCAGCTCTGGTCCAGGCTGAAGCCAGGAGCCAAGAGCCCTACCTGGGTCTCCCATGGGGGTGGCAGGGACCCAGGTATTTGAACCATCATCTGCTGCCTGCCTGGTATGTTAGCAGGGAGCCGGATTGGAAGCAGAGTAGTCAGAACTTGAATGGGACTCTGATATGGGATGCGGGTGTTTGAAGCAGTGGCTTAACCCACCGCACCACCACACCTACCCCAACATTGGGTTTTTGACTTTAGGGTTTTTTTGTTTCGTTTTGTTTTAATTAGTTATGATGTCTGTCTATATTAACAAGTGGAGATTTGAGTCATATTTTTAATGGCTACCTACTCTTTCATCTTTTGAATGTTTCTGGTCATTTTGTAGACTGTTCATAGGTCTGGTGAGTGTGTGTGTGTGTGTGAATAGAATCTTTTTTTTTTTTTTTAAAGATATTTTTATTATATTGAAAAAGAAGACAGGGGGATAGATCTTCCATCCACTGGTTCACTACCCAAATGCCTGCAACAGCCAGGACCGGGCCAGGCCAAAGCCGGGAAACTTCGCGGGCAGAGTGGCGATGGACAGACTCTCGTGGAAGCAGCCGGCTCTCTGTAGGTCGGCACAGTCACACTAGGGAGAAGCAGCTGCGAACCAGGCGCTGGCCAAGGGCTACGCACACCAAGCAGCCCTCCAGGCTACCAGCTGCCAGGAACTCTGACTTCATTCTGCTGCCTTTGGGAACCAGGGCAGAATCACTGGGGCTTGTGGGGGAAGTGCTGCAGGCTGGTAACTGGAAACTGAGAATACAGGTTTCCCACGTGCTGCCTCTCAGGACGGAAGCTGGGACGACAGCCCCAGGGCTCCCGTAGGAGCTGCAGGCATCACAAGTCGTCCTAACCACCGTGCGCTGTTTGCTGGCTTGCTTGTTTTGTTCTCTACTTTTTGAACGAGGAGAGACCTGCTCCCCTTGGCATCTCCCCACAAGCTCTGTGGGTGCCTCTTCGGCTCAGGGTATCTGAATAAAGCTGGACTGCTCTTGGCGGCTGACACTGTGGCGGGGCTGCTCTGGGCTGCTCCTCCTCAGTGAGGGCCTGCTGATCTAGGGAGTGCCTCCTGCTCCCAGCCAAGTCCTGTAAACTCCGCTCTTAGCAAGGTGGCCAGCGAGACCCGCGGCGAGGTCTTCTGTCTTTTTTCGGACACCTCTCGGGTTTCCTCCATGGTCGAGATTTTACTTTCCACATTTCCAAATTCCCACGGGGCCCTTTCCCCACCCCGCTGCCGCCCTTTCTAATGTCCCAGCCTAGAATCACCTCCGGGTTTTTGGAATGATGGGAGGAGATCCACGCAGACCTGCTGGCAGGCGCGTGTGGTTAGCATTCCTCTTGTGTAGGAAGAACACAGCGCTGTAGGAATGTTGTGAGTACAACAGTGTGAGGCCAGTCGGGAGGGTAGCGGGGCCTGACACCTGTCATCTGAGACGTGGTTCAGGGCACTCTGAAGACGTGGAGAGCACGATTTCCTGCCTGGCTCCAAGGTAGAAAGAAATACAGGATCAGGCCGGCGCCGCGGCTCACTAGGCTAATCCTCCGCCTTGCGGCGCCGGCACACCGGGTTCTAGTCCCGGTCGGGGCGCCGGATTCTGTCCCGGTTGCCCCTCTTCCAGGCCAGCTCTCTGCTGTGGCCCGGGAAGGCAGTGGAGGATGGCCCAAGTGCTTGGGCCCTGCACCCCATGGGAGACCAGGAGAAGCACCTGGCTCCTGCCTTTGGATAGGCGCGGTACGCCGGCCACTGCGCGTCGGCCGCGGCCATTGGAAGTGTACCAACGGCAAAGGAAGACCTTTCTCTCTGTCTCTCTCACTGTCCACTCTGCCTGTCAAAAAAAAAAAAAAAATACAGGATCAACAGGGAGAAGCTGCGGGGACGGAATTCAGCTGGTTGGAGGCAGACCCTCAGTTCCCAGTTGCCGTTGACGTTCAGGTGACCGGGGAGACCCCCGGGAGCCCCAGGTGTGTCACTGGGCGGCTGGCATCTCCCCCAGCCCCGCCGCGCCGTCCTGAGGGGACATGGTAGGCGTGCTACCCCACTGGACCAGCACACTCAGGAGATGTTCTTCTCTTTCCAGCTGACGGTGACCATCAGAGCTTTGCTGCAGAACCTGAAGGAAAAGATCGCCCTGTTGAAAGACTTACTGCTAAGAGCGGTGTCAACACACCAGATGTATCCGCGTAAACGTTCCCACCTCTCTCCTGGGCGGGCGGGAGGGGCGGCAGTCTCATTTTAAGGAAAGAAGGAAGGAATCTGGGCCACCCAGCTTTTCCCCACAGCTTGAGGGAGACCTGGTTTCCAAAATATTGCCTGTAATCTTGATTTCTATTTTTAAAGCATCTGTCCCGTGTTTTACAGCGAATGTGCTGGCAAAGCAAGACCTGCCGAAGGAATTCTCTCGGTTGGGTGGAACCTTTCCACAGCACAGGAGGCTGGGGGCTTTGCCTCGGGGCTGTGTGCACCGAGCTGTGCCCTGTGTGGCCAGCAGCGGGGCTCCAGCAGGAAAAGCCTCCCAGGTCACCCTGCAGTCCCCAGAGCTGTCCGTGATCCATTTCTCTGTGGAGTGGCGAGCGAGCGGGGAGCGTCAGAAAGTTCACGGGAAAGGGCATTAGAGGGTGAGCTCATCTTGCTGCAGAGGCGTTTGAAATCTGTGCCTATCGAGGCGTCTTCGAAAAGCCGATGGAGGGCCAGGCATTCTGCGCAATGATGAAAGCAGCGCTTTGGCTGCCTGCATCCCAGGCCAGAGTGCCTGGCTCCACTCCCACTTCCAGCTTCCTGCTAACCCTGGGATGCCAGTGGTGAGGACCCCACCGACGGCCACCCATGTGGGACCCACATGGAGTTCTTGGCTCCTTGTTTCAGCCTGGCCCAGCCCTGGTTGTCCTGGGCCTCTGGGAGGTGAACCGGTAGATGGGAGATACCTCTCTCTCAAGATTTATTTTATTTTATTTGAAAGGCAGAGTTACAGAGACAGACAGGTCTTCTTTCTGTTGGTTCTCCAGATGGCCGCAATGGATGGAGCTGTGCCAATCCCAAGCCAGGAGCCAGGAGTCTCTGCCAGGTCTTCCATGCAGGTGCAGGGGCTCAAGGACTTGGGCCATCTTCCACTGCTTTCCCAGGCCATAGCAGAGAGCTGGATCGGAAGTGGAGCAGCCGGGTCTTGAACTAGCACCTATATGGGATGCCGGCACTGCAGACGGTGGCTTAACCCACTAAGCCACAGTGCTGACCCCAGGAGATATCTCTGTCTCTGTCTCTCTGCCTTTCAAATAAAATAAACAAAACTTTTAAGAAGTTTTATGGAAAATATATGTTACAAAAAGCTGCATGGATTTCAAACTATTTTGCACCAAAATAAACTCAGGTTTTAATTCCATCCATCTGTGAACTTTCTGAAGTACCCTTGTTCTGGCAGAAACCACACCTCTCTTCCCTGTGTATGTTGATTACCGAGATGAGACTGACTTGTCTTCTTAGTGTTCTGATGGCATCGCTACGCTCTGGTTTGGGAGTTTTGGGGTTGAAGGGTGGGACTGGCTTGAAGCAAGGTGTGCCATCATCTCCACCTCCTACCAACATCCTCAAGTGTTAAAACCTTTTATTTTTCTTTCTTTTTTTGGACAGGCAGAGTGGACAGTGAGAGAGAGAGAAAGAGAGAGAAAGGTCTTCCTTTTGCCGTTGGTTCACCCTCCAATGGCCGCCGTGGCCGGCACGCTGCGGCCAGCGTACCACGCTGATCCGATGGAAGGAGCCAGGTACTTATCCTGGTCTCCCATGGGGTGCAGGGCCCAAGCACTTGGGCCATCCTCCACTGCACTCCCTCACCACAGCAGAGAGCTGGCCTGGAAGAGGGGCAACCGGGACAGAATCCTGCGCCCCGACCGGGACTAGAACCTGGTGTGCTGGTGCTGCAAGGCAGAGGATTAGCCTAGTTAGCTGCGGCGCCGGCCAAAACCTTTTCTTAAAAATTTTTTTTTGGTAATCTGATTCGTATAAGAAAACACATGTGGTCCATTACCCACACGAACCTTTAACCCTGAGTTTACGTTGATGTGAAAGCCGACCTCAGGTTGTTTTTCTGTGAATCCTTTCTCTGCATTGTCGGTAGTTCCTGCCCGAGTTCTAACTGTGTCTCAGCAAGTGAGTGCTGGCCAACTTTAAACATGGGAGAATGGGGTTCCGTAGCTTTTCAGGGAAAACAATTCAAATGTTGTAATCATTATCCCCCCACCCCATCCCCAGTACAACCCCTTATGTCACCTGGAAAGTAGGCTTAGAGTAGTTGTATGCTTTTTCAGGTATCCAATTATTAACCCACCAGGGTTTCAAATAAAAGTTGTATTTCAGTAAACAGCTGGGGCTTTATTTTTAACACAGCGATACACTTAGTCCATAACCTACCTTCCCTCTGGTGTTGTTTGTTATGCCACAGTTAGTTTACCATGTAAAGATTTTTTTCATCCTGCCCAGGTCTTCATAGGTAGACCTCAAGTCGTTGCAGACGGGCGGGGCTGTTTCCTCCATGTTCAGGGGTCCTGGTGTGCAAACGCATCTTAGTGTCGCCTAAAGACGTATATTAGAAAAGCAACTAGATATTACTTCACAGCATGATAGTATTAATTACATACTCACTAAATTCCATTAAGGCAACTAATTATTATTTGTCTTATTTATGTGGCAAGAACAATATATGAGAGTGCTTCAAAAAGGTCATGGAAAGTAGGATTGAAAGATGGGTTTATTTGGGGGAAAGAAACTTTGAAACTCATGCACACAAGGAATTTTCAAAAAAAATTCATAGAAAATGTGTAGTATGGAAAAATTTGCATGGATTTTTAAAAATTTTGTGTCAAAATATGCTCATCTTTTACTTGTTTTTCATGGACTTTTTGAAGTACCCTGGCACACATTAAGAACTCTTAACTGATGGCCGGCGCCGCGGCTCACTAGGCTAATCCTCCGCCTAGCGGCGCCGGCACACCGGGTTCTAGTCCCGGTCGGGGCGCCGGATTCTGTCCCGGTGCCCCTCTTCCAGGCCAGCCCTCTGCTGTGGCCAGGGAGTGCAGTGGAGGATGGCCCAGGTGCTTGGGCCCTGCACCCCATGGGAGACCAGGAAAAGCACCTGGCTCCTGGCTCCTGCCATCGGATCAGCGCGGTGCGCCGGCCGCAGCGCGCCAGCCGCGGCGGCCATTGGAGGGTGAACCAACGGCAAAGGAAGACCTTTCTCTCTGTCTCTCTCTCTCACTGTCCACTCTGCCTGTCAAAAAACAGACAAAAAATAAAAATAAAAATAAAAATAAAAAAAAAAAAAAAAAGAACTCTTAACTGCTTTTTTAGATTAATGATTTCTACTAGCTGTTAATTATAGAGTACTAGCATGCCACAATGATAATTGGCTTTGTTCTTCTAAATGCTTAGTCTGGCCATCTGTTGAAATCTCACAGATTTTTGGTTTTGTGGTAATCTCAGAATTACTTGATTTATTTATTTATTTATTTATTTGAAAGTCAGAGTTATACGGAGAGAGGAGAGGCAGAGAGAGAAGTCTTCCATCCGATGGTTCACTCCCCAGTTGGCCACAATGGCCGGAGCTGCGCCGATCCGAAGCCAGGAGCTTCTTCCAGGTCTCCCACACAGGTGCAGGGGCCCAAGGACTTAGGCCATCTTCTTACTGCTTTCCCAGGCCACACCAGAGAGCTGGATGGGAAGAGGAGCATATGGGAACTGGCGCCCATATGGGATGCCAGCACTGCAGGCCAGGGCATTAACCCACTGCACCACAGCGCCGGCCCCTCAGAATTACTTTCAAAATAATTGAATTAAGCATTGTGTTAAAACACTGGACAGTTACTTAATATAAAAATATTAGGTGTCTTGATGTATATATTTCAGAATTTCCAAGGATAAATTAACAATTCAGCTGAAATATAATAGCTTTCTTTAAAATCTTATTCTTTCAAATACTTGATCTATTTACGCTACACCCCAAACCAGGGATGGCATTCAGATCATCCACCCCAAGGGGGCGCTCATCAACCTCTGTATTTTCAGGGAGGCCATTTTTCTTTTAACAGAATGAGTAGGAGGTAGCATCTCTATTATGAAGGCTCTTTTTGATTCTCTTGTCCCCCACCTACCTCTCCTCTGTCATCCCAAGTCTTTTTTAATAATTCCAGGGCAGTTGTCTTCCAGATTTAAGATACGAGTAGCTACAATTTCACATATTTTTTGCACCGAAATAAACTAATCTTTCATTCCATTTTTTCCACCCTGCAAACCTTTGAACCCAAGAACCTCACATTGTGAGTTTGTTTTGGTGGTCTCTTTATGAAAAAAGTATTGAGGCCGAGTTAAAGTCTGCACCACGTGTCACTGGTGAGGCTGAAAAGAGAATCTCCCGTTTGGCAGAGGGGATAGTTTACGCGAGAAGCAGCTGGGCGAGCATGGTAACTTGTGCTGGACACACAGCCGGGAAGGAGAGCCTGATCCAAACCCCAGAGTCAGCTGTGCAGGGGCTGAGTCCTCCAAGACTGGCCATGGCGGCCCCTTGGCACCTGGCGTGGCTTCAGCCTGAATTCTCTGTTAACTGGCACGTTGCTGTGAGCCCAGACAGATCCTGGGGCACCTCCTCACCCATCAGGAAGATTAAACAGTGCTCGCTGTGGTTTATTAGGTATGCTTTATGGCGCTGTTATTCTTGGAAAAAGTTGTGTCCGTAGATCACCAAGAGAATGACTTTTTAATCCTGTTTTTGAGGCATAATTAATGTTGGGTGCTTTGTTTCACGCGAATATTTGAATACTGCGTTTCTATAGTGTGCCAGGAACTGAGAGTTTATGGTACTTTTCATCATAAATTTATTCCTGTCTGTGTTCATGAAGTTTTCCAAGGAATCCTGGAAGTTGCCAGAAAGATAAGTCCTATGAAAATCCTTTTTTTTTTTTTTTTATTTTTAAAGATTAATTTATTTGAAAGGCAGAGTTACAGAGAGAAAGAAGGAGAGATGGGGAGAGGAGTTCCATCTGCTGGTTTACTCCCCACATGGCCACAGTGGCCACGGCTAGGCCAGGCTGAAGCCAGAGGCCAGGAGCATTCATCCGGGTCTCCCACGTGGGAGGCAGGGGCCTAGGGACTTCAGCCATCTTCCGCTGCTTTCCCAGGCACATTAGAAA